TCCCTGCTCCAGACTGAGCCTTCCGTGCGATGGTGGGAGCGGGCGGCGCGCTCCGCAGGCTCCTATCCGCGGCCACGCCACGCCCGTGGCGACGTAACAGAGGCCCGGCCGCCTGCCGCCGACGCAGCCCATTCATTCGTTCGTTCGTTTGTCCATTCAGTGTTCCTGCTCTGAGCGCGGCCGGGGCTGGCGCTGCAGGGAACGACCTCGGTCTACTAGTTGAAACGCAGGTTTCTTTCTCATAGAGGGGGAGGACCAAAATGTGGTCGCAAATCTTCTAACGGCTCGCAAGTTACCCAGGAAAACCCTAGCCAGAGAGTTTTGATCTCTAAAGTTCGCAAAAATCAGGCTTCTTAGACACACCCGTTGGCCTGGGGAAGGCTAAAACAGAAGGGTTTGGAGCGAGGAGGAAGAATGGCTTCTGAACCTCTGGACCTAGTAGTTGAGACACAGAGTTACTAGCTGGAGGAAAGACCAAGGAGAGGACTAGAGAGCCCAGAGTAATCGCTTAGCCTTGGGGATTACCCATACTGTGCAGGGGCCCCAAAGGAGGACTAGCGTGACGGTGCCCAAAAATTGGGGTGGTTGGGTAAGCATTTCGTGACATCCTGATGTTTGAATGCTATGTAATGGGCTTTTTGCAGATATTATTTTACTTCATCTTCACAGCAGTCTTAAGAAGGTCTGTAGTCTCCACAGAAATTAGGCCGAGATGTTAACTAACGTTTTCCAAAATTTTGCAGGAGAAAGTGGAGCTGTTTTGTCCCCTGGGGAAGCCTGCCAAAACTTGGACCCCTTAACTGCTTACCAACAGTGTTTCCTAGCATAGTCGCACAGATATAGATAATGAATGAAGGTGTGCCAGGTACTAGGTTAGAAGATAAGAATACAAAGACTCTGACCCTGCCTTCCAGGAACTTAAAGTCCAGTGGAGGAGAAACACCAGTGAAAAATTAATCACAACCCAATGTGTTAAGGGCTATAATAGAGGTGCTTCCAAGGTGCTTTTTGAGCTCAGAGAGGTATTAATTACTTAGCGAAGTCAGAGAAGGCTTCCCAAAGGAGAAGTGGTAGTCCCAAAGGATGAGGTAAGATTGTAACTGATCTGGTAGGGAAGAGCAAGCCAGTCATAGAAAATAGCCTGTGACGTGGCATCTATAACAATAAAAGCATACTATGCTAATTAAACTGGACATCCTTCCGGATGACCTTCTGGAAGAGGCTGTGGCAGCAGGGGCTGAGGCAGAGGCAGCCGTTGAGGCAAGTCCCTTGCACGAATTTTGTGCATCGGACCTCTAGTTAAGCTATAAGAAAAAAAAAGTGCAGTAAAGAAATGAGGGGTATAAATGCAAGAAATCTATAAGAATAATAAAAGAAAACATTTTGTGCTGGGCACAATGCTAAATGATTACATGAATTATCTCAATTATATAGTCTATAAGATAGGCTTTCTTATTACCAGTGCTTTTTAGATGAGAAACCAAACCTCAGAGGTAATAATGAGCACTTCAAATAACCAGAAGTCTAAACTGTGTGATTCTGTGATTAGAGGAATCTGGGAAAGTGAAGTAAATTGGACAAGGATACTTTTGAAACCAGATAACAATTGGGTACGGGCTGCCTGTCACTACTTGAGCCAATTAAGCAGATGGGTGAATCATGTATGAGTATTTATTCCAATAATGCTGACATTGTGGGAAAATCTGCTCTGCACGCCCACCCACCCCCTCCCCCGCCCCAAGCCAGCTGCTTATATTGGGTAGAAAGACAAAGATTTGTTAATGTAAGAAACATTCAAACCTGTGAAGAATTTTTGTGAGTTTGAGCCAAACTGTCGATAATTGCCAGGAAGCAGAATCTCAACGGATTGAGATAATGCTCCGGAGAATGGCAGTTTTGTACTTTGTTTTATACATTACAATCCCAAGAGGAGACATAAATGGGTTATATGATATCCATTGGTGATAGACTAGGGAGGTGGGAGAAAGCAAAGCAGGAAAACCTCTGGGATTAGATAAAAAGTAAAATGATAGACATATTTCTTTTACTTAAGTGGTGTAGAAAGTAGGCCTCTGTGATCCATCTTCAGCACAGTCAACTTTTAATGGAAACGGTTACTGAATTTCCCCAAGGCAAACAGACCATAGGGAGGAGGGAAGAGGATATAAGAACAGAGGCTATAAAAACAAAGAACTGTGTAAGTGAGCCTGCAGCATGGTGGGAAACCCCCCCTCCCCCCCCGCCCGGCCCCAAGGCACCTGCCTCAACTAGACAGGGGGAGGTGGAAACTAGAAAAGGCCTCAGCCCATTTTTTTTTTTAAAATAACCCAATAAGAGACAAAAACTTATGAGGAAACTGTTGAGACAATTTATGAGGAAACTGTTAACCCCCTAGTACTCAGCCAATGAGGAAACAGAGGAGGGACTCTCGCACCTTAGGGATTAAATTGCCTATGATCCGCTACTCCATGTGTGCCTGTACAACCTGACAAACACCACCTCTTGAGGACGTATTAAAGGTCTCGTTTTCCCCATACTTCTGTCCCGAGTCCATTATTTTAATTCAGACAGCTGACCATTTCTCACAAGTGGTGTAGGATAGTTAACAGCCAACAATTAATAACTATGAGGGGATTTGTGGTCTCTGGTACCTGTGTTTTGAGGGGTCTGAAAAAAGGGAAAGTACTTTGACATTCCAATGATGTTATTATAGATGCAAAAATACAATAGACAGGCTCAGTTAAGAAGATAAAGATTGAACTTTGTCAGGGAATATACCAGCCATATGCTGCTTTTTAGTTTAAAAAGTTTTAATTTCAGACCATCCTTTGTGGTTACTTTAAGTCTCTGAGTTTGCAAGCTGCCACACAGGCCTTCCCTGAGCTAGTCAGGTTAGCATGTGGCCCCTTTTCATCTACAGATGACATGGGCAAGTAGGCAAAAGGAATAAGAATGGGTATAATGGTTACAGGTTACAGGCAATGTGGGCATCTCCATGACTCCATTGTTTAGATGATAAGGTGGTTAATCTTTCCATGATAATAGGCAGTTCTCAAGGAGAATGGACTGGATTCCTAACTCCCTTGTCCAGGGGCATACAACTCAACCAGGTTAGTATGTGCTTTCTCTAATTAGAATAGAACAATCATGGTTAACAGAGCATGATTAATATTTCTTATAATGATTGCTAGTCCCCACTATTCTAAATTTGCCCCTAACACTATCAGAATATTTAGAGAGAGCCCAGAATTCATCCATATAGGAAGAAAGACAGAGTGACTATTAGGTTAGAAGTATATTATTGCCTAACAAACCAGCTCACTTGGTGCTTAAAATAACAGCAAGCATTTATTTAGCTCTTGAATCTTCACATTTGGGCAGGACTTGGCAGGAAGGCACATCTCTACTCGATGCTACATTAGTCTTGGCAGCATAACTGGGGATAGATCCATTTCCACTACGGTTCACATAGCTGGCAAGTTGGTTCTGGCTGTTAATTCCTCTCCAAGCAGGTCTCTCCCTGAGGCAGCTTGGGCTTCCTCACTGCATGGTGGCTAGATTCCAAGAGTGATTGTTCTAGCTAGCAAAACTAGAATCAGAAGCTGAATCATCTTTTTGGCTTAGCCTTGGAAGTCACATAGCATCATTCCTACCACAATCTATGGTTAACTAAGTTACAAAAGGCCACTCAATTCAAGGGTAGGGGGCATAGCTCTAGCCGACTTGGCTCAGTGAATAGAGCCTCGGGCCGAGGACTGAAGGGTTTCAGGTTCAATTCCGGTCAAGGGCACATATCTCAGGGTACGTATAGGAGGCATTCAATGTCTCCTGGAGAACCTAGTGAGGGAACATGGCTACAGAACCTGGCTGGAGAACCTGGAGAACCTGGCTGGAGAACCTAGCAAGAGAACATGGACACAGAACCTGGCTGGAGATCCTAACCAGAACTTCGCTGGAGATGCTAAACAGAACTTGGCTGGAGATTGTGGCTAGAGATCCTGGCAAGGCTGCTGATGAACTGAAAAAAAAAATCATTCAATGTCTCTCTCTCTCCCTCTCCCTCTCTCTCTCTCTCTCTCTCTCTCTCTCTGTATGTGTGTGTCTGTCCCTCCTTTCCACTCTCTCTTAAAAAATCAATGGAAAAATATCCTCAGGAAAGGATTAACAAAAAAATCAATGAAAAACTTAAAAAAAAAAAAAAACAATAGGGGGCATAGACTCCACCTCTTGAAAGTAAAGTGGCAAGACCACATGTATACCGCACAGACACACACACGTACCCATGGTTAAATACATGTACCAAGGGACTCATCTACACTAATAAAAGAGAAACATGGTAATTGGCGTACGACCGCTACCCTTTTCATTGGCTAATCAGGGCAATATGCAAATTAACTGCCAACTAAGATGGCAGTTAACTGCCAACAAAGATAGCAGTTAATTTGCATATGTAGGCACAATGCAGGGAGGCGACACTCTAACCAACTGAGCTACCCAGCCAGGGTTCATTTAAGTTTTGTCCTGTCTTCTGTTAGATATTGAATTAGCTCTTATTTTCAAATGTACTAAGAACTTTACATCTGCTTTATATACTAGTGAGTCCTTTAGTGAGCACAAGACAAGTTAGATTAGGTTAAAAGGATGCTATATCCTATATAATAAAAGGCTAACATGCAAATTGTCCCCTTGGGAGTTCAATGGAACAGTTCAACCACTCGCTATAACGTGTACTGACCACCAGGGGGCAGCGCGGAATGAAGGAAGGCTCAGGCTAGCAGCTGGGGGTAAGGAAGGCCTTGATCAAGAACTACTGGATATACAAATAAAGAAATGTTAAAATACAAAAAGGAAAAACAGCGAGGTAAGCTTTTTTATTTCTTATTCCCCACCCCCCATTGATATTTAGAGAGTGTAAGGGAGGGGGGGA